TTTTTTTCTCTTCCTCTTTTTTTCCCCCTATGTTTGTCCCTCTGCCCTTTCTCACTCTCCCATTACAATATCTCTGCTATATACAGTTGTCCTCCAGAAGAGTCATTGAAAAAGTGATACATACAAGTAAAGGGAGAGAGGCCAGGAGTTCCAATTATCAGCTCATAAAGTTTTTGACAATAGGGAGCATAGATTGGGTTGGATTAAGGGAGGGTCTCCTGCAGATCCACAAGTGTAGGTGAGTCTCCAGGGAATGCAGTTTCGGGAAAGCAGTTCTGGTACGCAGGGATGATTATCAGCTGATGCGGCACAGCAGTCATCTTGTAGTTACCAGGAATGGTGTTGTGGGGATCTGCAGTGTGAGTTGTCCTTGGGTATCTGGCTTCCTTAAGAATGGCAGAGTAGTTCTTGTTTTCCCCTGAGGTAATACAGGGCTGGTAACTGTCATCTTCTCAAGTTGCAAGTTCTTCAACCTTGTTTTCGGCCTCCGGGCCATCCAGCCCTGGAGAGGCCAGGGAGGCCGGCCCCGGCAGCGGGGCCCCCAGAGGAGTGCCAGGCTGTTCCCGGTGTGCGGCCAGGCCGTTCCCGGTGCGCGACTGCGCAGGGACGGACAACAGTACATTTTTAAGAAAGAGTTGACAGTAAAGACTCAGAGAAATGTTTGGTGATCTTCTTGGGCAAATTGAAAGAGAACTAGACAGCACAGAGGCAATTTGAATGTAATTTTTCATTTCTTCCAAGCTCTTATATGTTGTCTTGAAACTAATCCTGGTGTAATATAGGGATTACCTGTTGTTTATTGCTGAGATACACCTTATCTTGGACAAAGACATTTCTGTGGATGAATGGCTTCAGTGGCTCTCAGATAAATGTGATTTCATTTTGATGGACACATACTTTTACCATCCAGTGTAAATTAGCCAAATTTGGATGGTTTCACTTGAGAATTTGACCATGTACTTAAGACTGTAATACTTGTATGATTTCAGGTTTTTTGACTCGAGTGATCTGAGATGCATAATCAATCAAGTCTTAGTGTATTGCTGCTTGGCCTGTATGCTCATCACTATCAGGTTACCACGCTGGCTAAGAGTGAGAAAGCAGGGCCTATGCTCCCTCCACCCCACCCTCTCTCACTAATGCATTTAGGGTAGAGATTTGGAAGAAGTGGGTGTTTCCTCTTAAGAAAGTCAGTCATTGGGAATCTGTCTCAGCTCCTAAAACTTTTACAACTTCTTTTCTTCTGTTTTTCTGATCTGGCAGAACCTCTGAAGTTTCAGCCTGTTCTAGCAGCAAAAGAGATTGTACTTAGAAAAATAAAAATATTGACAAGATGACTTTTGAGAAAATTATAGGTCTGAAAGTTGGACTAAATTCTCTTGATGTCAAATGATAATGATTTTATAAAGATATTCAGTTGGACTAGATGCTTATTTCGTACATTTTTTATGTATGTCTCACGTATCTTTCTTCATTTTTGTTGTTTAATTCAGGCAAGGATTTTGCTGGTATGAAACGAAAGATACGATGTGGTTCTCACTTTATTCTGATCTCGTAACATTTGTCTCGTCTCCAGTTGGCCTGTTAAGTGGTGACTTTGTTGGTCAGAGGACTCTCACTTTTCTGAACTCAGGGGAACATAGAATAAAAAATACCCTGTGAGCTGCCCAAAGAATCAAGAATCCTCAGGAAGACCAGAGTTCCCCTTCTAGTGGTGTGAAAAGAGAATACCTCTGGAAGCGTGAAAGACATGGAAAATCTGACCGTGGTCCCTTTCCCACTGCAGTAATCGCAGTCCTGCCTGAAGATCCAGAAAGAATAGATAAGGCATGACTGTGTAGGTAGGAGAGCTTAGGTATTCCAAGGGTTTGCAGTTTACCTCTAAATTTAAATGTTTATAATAGATTGTGAAAGATATAGCATGTAGTCATTTTATTATTTTTCTTCCTTTTAAATTACCAGAGGGCTCATGTATTCACTAGAGAGAGTGCAAGCGAGAAAGTTACCCCCCAGTGAGGCATTGTCATGCTGCAGTCCCTTGTTTTCTCTATCCAGTTGGGATTTGGGGTATGCATGCATATGTACCTGGCGTGTTTTTCGTACCCCAGAGGCCGGGCTTTGAACCATGGTTGACCATGTGGGATCTGGCTCCCTTACCTACTAAGCTACAAGCTCAGCCTATAACTTGTTATTTTGAGATGCGGAATTTTTCTTAAGTTTAGGTCCATAAAAATGTGTTATCCCAGAGGAGTTATATTTATGCATACAGGATTTTTTTTCACACTTCTGCAGGAAGGCATGGAAGCTGAAAAAAAAGCCATTTCTCTTCTTTCAAAATTACGGAATGAATTGCAAACAGATAAGCCAATCGTCCCCTTGGTTGAGAAGTTTGTTGATACTGATGTTTGGAATCAGTACCTAGAGTATCAACAGAGTCTGTTAAATGAAGGTGATGGGAAGCCAAGGTGGTTCCACTCGCCGTGGTTGTTCGTGGAGTGCTACATGTATCGCAGAATTCACGAAGCCATCATTCAGAGGTGAGTGTGTGACCATCAGAGCAGACGCTCAGGTATCTTGTGCTCTCTCCGAAATTATAAATGGATGAACGTAGGACACCAGTGGAAGCCCACATTTAATTGAGCTCAGCAAATATTACTAATATTCTTGGACAGTTCTATAAATCTTACTGACTTATACATCCTTGGCAATTATAAACCACAAGCCTAGAAGAGACATACGATTGAACATCTGAAATATGAACTGAACTCATTAAAAATTCTTAGAAAGACTTTTCATCTGAAATATAACAAAATATACTTTGATGAGCAAAAAAGGTTTTTGAAATAATTATATAGGAAGTCAAGATGGGACAAAGTAAGCAAATATTTTGTTTATAATAACAGATGATAGAATTTATTTGGTATAAGGAGTCATCAGAATAGTGAATTGCTCTGTTATTTTACTTACTGTCTTACTCTTTTAGTCCTTTTTTTAAAAGAATTATTTTATTTAACTTTATTTATTTATTTATTTCAGTTTGACCAGAGAGGGACAGAGAGAGAGAGAGAGAGAGAGAGAAAGAGAAAGTGAGAAAGCAAGCTGCCAGATCCAGGACTTGAACCGTAGTCGGCCATGTGAGAGTCCAGCACCCTTAACCACCCTGCCACCTGCCAGCCCCAGTCCTGTTTTGTTTTTAAGGACTACATTAGAAAAAGACTAAAAGTTACACGTGTGTTCCAAAATAGCTTTTTGTGGGCTCGTTCTTACCATTTATTTTTTCCTAGCAAAACTCTATATGGAGCTGATTTATAATGTGAAAAAGGAACAGTGTGTGGACTGTCCATGCGTCTCACAAGTACGGAATACTGCTTTACTGAGTAGGAGGAGTCCTTGGGGATCTATTCCTGAACGTAGCGTAGGATCATTTCAAGTGATCAATCAAGCCAGCACTAATTGTAACATAAAATTATTTTGAGAAGCATACATAACTTTGTGTCTTTTCATTAGGTTTTTCTGGCATATATACATACATGTATGTATATATATATATATATACACACATATATATATACACACACATATATATGTATATATTTTATATATTATATCATTATTT